TGAAAACCATTTTTAAGTAATTAAAAAACAGAGTACGCTTAAACTTGCCAACGGTTAACTAAGCTAATGTTAATTGGGCGACAGAAACACAAACAATATTTGTAAGAAAATCACTTGTAATTATAAAAATTATTATTATCTCAAACTATACTATTGTTGTACAAGTAATAATTGTATCAAAATTTCTCATTAAAAAAAAAATAATAATTTAAAATTATTTCAAATGTTTTTTTTTCATTCTAGTTATTATTAATAATTTTACACTTTTCTTCGTCAGTAATAATATTGTAATTGTTGCAACAAATTTCGTTGTTATTTATTAATATTTCAATATCAATCAAATCGATATTCATTATTTGTTGCTAGTAACAATTTCCTAGAATTCAATCACAGATTTTTCAGTAATCTCCTACTACCTTGTATTAAATGTTTTTTTTTATAGCAATTAAAATGTATATATGAAAAACAAAAACTTTTTAATGAATTACATAAAATAATTATTAATTTGAATAAATAATATAGTATAATAAGTCCATATCGGTTTTATTGTCGTTTTATATATTAAAACTTTGTTTTCCGCTGAGATGGATGAGTATCTACCCATGAGCCAATGCAATCTTTTTAATGTCAGTCACAACTGTTTTCTTTTTGTCGTAATATGTTTTTTCCAGGTGAGTTTCCAATATTGAAAATAATTTTTATGTAATTAACAAACAGAGTACGCCTAAACTTGGCAACGGTTAACTAAGGTAAGGTTAATTGGGCGACGGTAACTGGGCAACAGAAACAAACAATATTTTTAAGAAACTCAATTGTAATTATAAAAATTATTATTATCTCAAACTATACTATTGTTGTACACGTAATATTTTTTATAACAATTGTATCAAAATTTCTCATTAAAAAAATTTATAATTTAAAATTATTTCAAATGGTTTTTTTTCATTCGAGTTATTATTAATAATTTTACCCTTTTCTTCGTCAGTAATAATATTGTAATTGTTGGAACAAATTTCGTTATTATTTATTTATATTTCAATATCAATCAAAGCGATATTCATTATTTGTTGCTAGTAACAATTTCCTAGAATTCAATCACAGATTTTTCAGTAATCTCCTCCTACCTTGTATTAAATGTTTTTTTTATCGCAATTAAAATGTATATATGAAAAACAAAAACTTTTTAATGAAATTTTATCGTGCCATCACGCATTGCTTCAAGCAAAAATACTATTCATAACAATATAAGTATCTTCATGTTTCTCCATTCACATTGATAAATTGTAAATAAAATTATTACGACATAAAAATATATTTGTCCACTAATTTATTGTTTTTTATCTTTGATGTTTATTAGTATAACGAACTGACTGGTATCTTCGTGCTGTCGCCGAGTCGCCAGCTATGAATTGCAGAAATTGAAAAATAATTCGAAAACTATTGAATTTTTTTATGATTTTATTGCATAATCAGGTGCAGACAAACGTTGCACAACTTTTTATGTAACAATAGCTACTTAACGTTCGATACGTAACAAAGAAACGACGTATTTTTGGTTCTGTTGAAGATTCAGTTTAATTTCGGTTTACGGTTTTGGGTTCGACTCTAAGGTTAGGCAGTAATCAAATCCATGAAGAAAACTAAGGAAAAAACAAATTATTTATATGTAATATTAATTATTCAAAATTTTATTTATAATTGACAACATGATAAAGATTAATATATATATTTACGCATTTAAAACTATGATTAAGTAATTCTTTAATTAGATGAAACCTCCGGTTTGCAAAGCCAATCTAGCTGCGTTGTTGATGTGTTTGAATCTGTCGTTACCTAGTTGAATTCCTCCGTACCATCTGGTCACTATGACAACAACATTCATAACGTTCAGTTTCTGTAGGAGTTGCATCAAACGTCCATCCGCTAAATACTCTCCATCGTCGTCACAATCTTGCAGCAAAACACCGTTCGGTTTTGTAATTCTATAGGCGGAGATGTTGTGCTTCGCCTGAGAGATTTTCTTGTTCTGCAGAAGTAATTTTATTACGTTCCTGAAACAAACAAAAAGCAATAAACGTAAATTTTAAATTAACGCTTCCAGTAAGGTGATAATTACTTGACGTCTTCCTCCGAATTGACAACGCATACGTGACCTTGGAAGATGCTCT